GGGATCGGGCCGTGCCGTGCCGTGCTGACGACAGCCGTGCCGTGCTGACAGCCGTGCCGTGGTGTGCTCTCTCCGCAGGCCGTCTATGCCGTGGTGAACCTGGTGATCTTTTACCCTGCCGCCTCCACCTGGACGTGGGTGAGCGCCCGGCCCACTGTGGGCAGGGCACGGTCTCCCGCCCCGGCGAGGGGACCCTCGGCCTGGCCTGGCTGAAAGCTGGGTTCTTTGCCAGTTGTTGCGACAGGCAAGGCCTGTAGGCCCCTGCTGCTCTGCCCGGGGTCATGGCTTTTGCGGCTGACAGCTGTTTCCTTGTTGCAGCTAGCATTCATCTTCAGCTCGGTGGTCTATGGTACCAGCTACCGGTCCATGAACTCCATGGCTAAGCCATCTTTCACAGATGATGGTAGCCTTGCCGACGGGGGAATTGACCTGAATATGGAGCAGGGGATGGCAGAGTGAGTGTCCACACCCGCACGAGTCCAGGTGAGCAGGACCTGCTGCCTGAGCGTGCACGCAGAGCCAGGAGAGCCTCCGAAGGAGAAGGCCAGGCCTCAGCTACTGCATCAGTTTGCACAGCAGTGCAGGCATGAGGGGAGCTGGAAGTCTGTAGCCATTTTTTTCCAATAATGTACCTAAATTGTTCTCGTTATCTGAATGCTTGGCCCTGTGTGCCCTAGTCATGAGCAGCCACGTGGGTACATCAGCCTGGAATGGTCACTATCCTTAGGGTTGAGGCACACAGGTAGGAGATCCCAAACGGTTCAGCTGGAGCAGCTTACGATCATCTTTCAGTGAAGAGATAGTGCTGGCACTGTGCACCCTTCTGCAACACGTAGATATTGATATTTTCTTTTTAAACCAGCACTGCAGGTAGTGCTTGACAGAGTGAAAGGGCACGCACTGCCAGTTACTGCATCTCAGCTGCAAAGTGGCTGTGTCTTGAACTGTTCTACACACTAAAAAACCTCCCTACTGTCTTAGCCAGCTCCTCTTAACCTCCTCAGCCTTTTCTGCCCCCTGTGCTTGTGCATTCCCTGTGTCTGTCTGCAGACAGCACCAAGTGTTTGCCTGTCCAGCGTTCTTGGTGGTGCTGTAACTCTCTTTTCTTTGATCAAGGAACATACAACAGTAATTCTTGCAAAGTGCTGTTGAATAAAATAAGGAGATGACAGTACTGAAACAGCAAAAATATCTTCTAGATTTATGTGTTTTCCAACAGCAAGCGTCAAACTAGTTACAGAAAACTGCCAGGCAGTCGTGGACACATCACGCTTTGCTCTCTGTCCTCCCTGCCCTCAGCCTCTGGTCCAGCTTTTGCTGGGGATCTTTAGCGCATGCTCAGCAAGGCACCTGGGGTACTTAGCCCCTTCCCTCCCATGTCCTTGGCTTACAGTTTAAGGTTTACCTCCATCTTTCACTTGCTGCCAGGCTTTTGAAGAAACAGTGGGGCCTTGTTTCCAGCAGAGCCCTCTGCCTCGCATCAAATGTTCTTGTGCTGTGAATTGATTTACATATTTTAATTAACAGCGGTTTTATTTCTGCAGCCAGCAGATGCCCAGGGATGTTATCAGCAGGCAGACCGACTTGTGTGGCACAGAACCTGCTGTCTCTGCACAGGATGAGCTCTCATCTTGTGTGTTTGTTAGTGGAGTAGTACATTTCCTACCTGCAGCCAGAGCGACTCAGATGTGCGGTATAAGAGACTCAGATGAGGGATGATGTGGCCGGGAGGAGAGGAAATTATTTCTAGTATGATTAGTGAGCTAGGTGTTTTGCAACCTGTTTGTCCTATAGTGACTTCTTTTTCCTGCTGGTCAGCTGAGTGGTTTTCTCTTGTTTTACACTGTTTTGGCTCTCCTGAGTAGAAGCATAAAATACTTTGGATACTTTTTTTGTGAAACACAGGACAGTCAAGTAAGGAAAATACAGATGTGTAAGGCACCAAAGCGGAGTGGGTGCCCTGATAACTGCCCCACACATGTGTGTGATGGCACTGTCAGAGGAAATGACTGACAGGAGTTAGCACAGGGATCCCCTTACCTGCTGTGAAAAAGGTGTCAGGCACAGTTGTAGCACTGCTGCAGCCCTAGTTGCAGACATTGTATTTCCCTTGGTACTGGGGCTCTGAGGTTTTTCTGCCTGAGCAATACACCCTTGGTGTGAGTTTTATGACACATTAAAATTAACTGATGCTTGTCCAAGGCATGGGCTGTGCAAAACACAGTGCAGCTCAGGGGTGGAGCTGTAAAAGCAAAACCTGCACAGCTGAAGTTCCCACCCTTACCCTGTGCCTTTGTACCTGAGCCTGTGCAGAGCCCTCAGCTGTGAGAGTGTGAGTCTCATTAGTTTAACCCTGTTAGTACGTGAACACAAAGTGCTAACGAACACTCAGTGCTCCTCCCACTGATGGTGTCTGTTTGTCAGGTGAAGTGCTCTAAATTACCACTCTGGGGATCCAGGAACAACTCTAGGCTGGTGGTTCCTTTCAGAAAGCAGCACATGTTTTCCTGCCTCTCAGCTGAGTGTGCCACATTTGATTAACGAGTGTTCTTTTGGAGCTGCTTCTGGAAGGCTGTGGATTTGATGGTGTTTCCCTCGTGCTGTCTGTACCTGAATCAGATGTTGTGTGTTGCTTTGGGGTTGGGGAAGGCCCATCTTGCTGATCTCTGGGAGAGCTAGGTTTGGTGGGAGCTCTGCTGTCACCCCTCTGGAGTCTCTGGTGATGCATGAGACTTCTGAACCTCACTGTCTTATCACAGAGCTGTTGATGGTGGATTCTGCGGTGTCTTGAGTTGATGATGGCGTCCCAGCCTAAACCAGTTGTTTCTGGTCACTTTGTTTTGCACTGTGTTGCCAGAATGAGACAAGCTGTTGCATTACCATTACCTCTGCCTTTGTTGTCTTGACTCCATTTCTGGATGTGACTTGAGCGTTTCTTACTCCAGCAGATGATGATTTAATGGGGGTGAAGGAGCTGGTGTTTTTCTAACTCGTCATGGTACTCCCCATAGCTTGTGTTGAAAAGCCAATACCTGTTTACCTCTGCTGCATGTCAGGGCCCCCCAAGGGTGGTGGTTGAGGTGTGGGCAGCTTGTCCATGTCCATAGCTGCTCTCAGCTCTGCCTCGGGCTGGTGTTGAAGACCCTGCAGTCAGATAAACAGGAGGGGAGGGGGAGCCGTCCATTGCTGTAGCTCAGCTTGCAGGCGATGGTGTGCGGGCAATGGTGTGCTTGTTCTTGTGGCACCCCAGCTCTTTGGTGACCGTGAGTGTGTCTGTCAGCCAGTGCAATGGCACAGTGAAGGTCCATGCTTCCCCTAGGGCAGGCAGCTGTGAGCAGCTATACTTTATGCTGTGATACGTGTCAAATCAGGAGGCACTGGCTGCCATTGCAGGCTGCGAAGGTGGTGGTTTTGCTGCTGATTTCCACCCCCCTGCATTCCTTGGCTTTCTTAATGTTGCTTTTCAGAGGGAGCCTAGCTCTTTAACTCATCAGATTTTGTTTTGGTTTTGTTTACTGCTCTGATTCTTCTAGATTACCTTGTGTGGCAAAGCATAGCTGCAGGGACAGTCCTTCAGTTGGGCCAGGCAGGGTGGCTCCCTGGAGGCAGTGCAGATGGGCTGTGTTGGCAGAGGAGCTGGTGTGTTTGGCAGGGGCTGGAATGGAAGGTTAATGTTTCGCTTTTCTTCCCTCAGGCACCTCAAGGATGTGATCCTGCTGACAGCCATGGTCCAAGTGCTGAGCTGCTTCTCGCTCTATGTCTGGTACTTCTGGCTCTTGGTAAGACCCTGCGGTTTTCCTTGTTGCTCCATTGTCTCTGTCTTTCCCTGTCTTCAGGACTGAGGACATTATTTATCCATTTCATTTTAGTGTCCTGTTTCAGGCCAAAACTATTTTCTGTTATATTTTTTAATCTCCCTGTCAAATCTTGTTAAAAATGAGGCCGTACAAGGGAAGGAAGTCCTGATCTGTCTGGGTCAACCATGCAAAAACTAGGCTGGCCTTAGCCTTTTTCTCTGGTCCTGTGAAAGGGCAACAAGAAACATGAGGCAGATCAAAGCCATCTTTGTGTGTAGAGTCTTTTTTGTGACTGTGGCAAACAGACTGTGCTGCTTCTTGTTTGGTTTTCTCAGTCATCTACCAGCACGGACTGAGGCTGGGAACTGTTGGACACTGTGCTGCTTGGTAGATCAAACGCTGTAGGCTTTGATTTCCCCTTAACACACCAGACTCTTTCTACTTCTGAAACATTTGTCATGTGCCTCCAGCTAAAACTGCTTTTGCAGAAGGATAAAAAAAATCTCCAGTTTGTTAAAAAAGTCTCACAGTTGCTTTGAGTATATCCTACAAAGGTATAAAAGACAATCTTGGGAGTATACAAAGTTACCTCATTTCAGTCCTTACAAGTTCCTTTGTAGCTGGCCTGGCAGAGGGCAGCCTAGACTCTTGACTATCCCCCGGAGACCATCTGGATCACTTTTTTTTTTTTTTTTTTTTTTTTTTTTTTTTTTTTTTTTTTTTTCTTTTTTCTTTTTTTAATTCAGAGAGATGTGGGGGTGTTTTCTGAAGGAGGAAGAGGCAGAATGTCTGGGCAGTTGGATCTTTCTGGGTAATTCAGACCCGATGCTGGGATTTCCATATATGAAGCTTAAGTGCTGTATACATATGCAAGTTCCTAAACCATATGAAATCAGGCCATTTATTTTGGATGCCTGCCACTGCCTTTGATTTCTATGCATCCTGTGATGCACGTGATCCAGCCTGTAGAGATATTCCAGCTCCTCTGGCTTCCTCAGGAGGACCAGTCCTCCTGACCGTAGCACCACCCCTGCCCGAGCTGTCCCCAGAGTGACCAAGTTTGTGCCATGTGTTTTGCAGGCTCCAGGACGTGCTCTCTACCTCCTTTGGGTGAACATCCTGGGGCCCTGGTTTACAGCTGACTCTTCACCCGCTGGTCAGGAACCAAATGAGAAGAAGCAACGCCGACAAGAACGCCGCCAGATGAAGCGCTTCTAGCCCTGGCTGGGGAGATAAATTAATGCTGTCTCTCATCTCCATGTTTTTAGTTCATCAGGGATGCGACCGAAGCCAATCCAAAACCATTGCAGTAGCTATGTTGCCCTCTGTCATTGCTGCCATTCCACTAGAAAGGCTGCAAGAGACTTCCCTTGGTTGGTTCTTAGCGCCAGTTGAGGCCTTGCTCCTTGGGATGACAAGGGGAGCAATGCTGGGATGTGTGTAAATACCTTTTGTAAAGTAGCACTGTATCGTGTTTGAGGTTGGGGATTGCAACGTTGGAGGAAATAGTACATTAAAGAGCAGAGTCTAATTGACCGTACTGGCAGTGTGTTCATATAGGGGTGCTCGCAGAGGGGAGCTGTTAAAAATACATTGGAGGGAAGCAAAATCCTCCAAGACATGTGGTCTCATGCCTTTCCAAGCTTCTGTTGTGCTGCCCTGCCTGCTGGAGCTTCTGCACCCTGCAGAGGGGCTGCAGCTGCCCTGTGAGTGTGGGACAGCTGGAGGTGCTGTGAACAGGGCTTGCAGCCAAACTTGGAGCTTTTGGGTTTGAGCCTGGGCTCTCTGGAGCCACAAGTTGGTCTGTGCTCCCTTTGCAGGAGCTCAGTGGCTTTTTGGGTTTTTTTTTTTCCTTCTTTTAAATTAACTCTCCCAGGGGTGGCACAGCCCAGCCGCAGGGTTCCATGACTGCTGCAGAGACCACGTATTAGAGACCAGGAACAGCTCAGGGCATCTTCTCCTTTTGCCTGCTTTGATTTATTAATGTTGTCCTTGCCCAGTGTTGTTTTACATACTCCGGTGACCCCTTCCTGCTCCTGATGCACCAGCTTGGAGCCATGCAGCTTTGCCTGTGTGAGATGCACAGTCAGTGGTCACGTGGTGCCAGCCTGGCTTTTGATGCTATCCACAACCTTTTGACCACGTTTCCATTACATCATTTTTATTACACACTTTTTTCCATACATCAAGCCCAATCCCCACCTTGAGTCCTCCTGTGCCTCTGAGCCAGGCAGTGGCTGTACTTGGGGTGCAGAGCGATGGTTAATTGTGGGCAAATATCTGGGGGGGGGGGGAGAGCAGAGATTGGTATTTGGGGGATTAAAGTCCTTCTGCTGCTAGTGATGGGCATGAGGGAGCATGAAATGCATACATGGGGCAATCAGTGGGTGTGGGCCAGCCCTTATTCCCTGCCAGGGCTGCCAGGCACAGCCCAGAGCCCCCAGCCCCATCTGCTGGCCCTGAGTAGGCGTCCCCACACTGCTGGAGCACCCCCCCGGTACCCTAAGGGCATCCCCCCCACATTGTAACTACCCCAGCACAGCCTCCTGCACCTCTGGGGGACCGGTGCATCTTCCTGGCTCGCTCTACCCTTGCTCCCTCTGAACCTTCTTTGGCTCTGTGGAGCCATGCAGCCGTCCCCAAAATGCACAGGGGATGGTGGTGGGGGGAGGAAACACATCAACACTAACCACCCCGGCCCTCTCAGCCGCGCTACCCTACACAGTGGTACATGCACAGCGGTCACCCAGGCGCAGGGGGAAGCCCAGGCTCTGCCCTTTCCTCCAGCCCCAATAAATATCCACTAAATGGCACCCCTTGGGGTGCCAGTTTTGAGGGATGCCCCTCAGTCAGGCAGCAGCTGCTCCAGCTCCTCCTCATTCAGGCCATTGGTGGTGACGATGTGGTCCAGCTGCTTCATGTACCGCTCCAGGTCCTGCATGAAATGGGGGATGCGGGCCTTCTCCAGAACCCCAAATTTCTTCAGCCGATTTACATCTTCATAGGAGACCTGATGGGACGCAGGGAGATGGGGTCAGCACTCCCTGCATGCCCATCCAAGGAGTGAGTCTGGCGGCCCCCCCCCGGGTCCCCCACCCCCGGCCCAAACACCCTGCCTGCCTGCAGGGAGGCACTGGCAGAGCTCCTCAGAGCGCAGTTGCAAGGATGTGTGGTTTTGGTCATTTTTCTGTCGCTGCAGGGACAGGTGACAGCAGGACTGGTGTGGCCAAGGTAGAGGGCCAGCAGAGCTTAACCTGCTGGGTGAAGCCGCTCCTGCAAGGGTCTCCCACAGAGGAGGACAGATTGTCCCGTCCTTCCTTGCATCCTACCCAGCACAGCCTTCCCCTGCTCCACCAAAACCCATACAGGCAGGGAAAGGCAAAGAGGTGAAGGGCTTCCAGCCAAGGGCTTGTTTTCAGGAAAACATGGGACTGTGGAAGCCCACGTGAGCTTTGGGATAGGACAGGGCTCTGGGATCAGCCCCTCCCGGCCCCAGCCATTACCTTTCCAAGTGCAGCCAGCAGCGGGAAGTCGATGGTCTGCCGATGGCGCAGGATGCGTAGAATCCCGTCCAGGTAGACCTGGTCCT